ATTCTTTAGAATATGATATCACAATTCTTTACAATATGATACATCAATTCTTTAGAATATGATATCTGAATTCTTTACAATATATTTCAATTCTTTGGAATATGATATCACAATTCTTTAGAATATGATACTTCAATTCTTTAGAATATGATATCTGAATTCTTTACAATATGATATCTCAATTCTTTTCAATATGATATTTCAATTCTTTTGAATATGATATTTCAATTCTTCAGAACGCAATATTACATTCCTTCAAAATATGATATTTAAACTGCGATTCTTCATGCAAAATAAAACTGATTCTTCCAACAATCTCAGCAAATTGAAAACAATAAGTAGACGTCCCTAAATTCTCATAATATTTTCATTATTTTAATTTTCATATATATTCACCACTAAATAATACATAAATACAACAACACAAAAATACTATAATATATACTCAAATTATATACTATAATACTATAATATTTATAAAATCGGAAGCAACGGACGGAGAATTCCATTCGACAATGCGACCATTGCGAGCAACGTGACGGCAACGGTTTGTTAGCAACGTTTACACGTAAAGGCCAAGCAAAATAGGCATACAACCTCTTTCCGCACACATTCCGCTTGCTGTTTACAGCCGTTCAACAAAGATTGTTTCGCGATAAATGCGCCCTCGCGGCTTATCAGGGCCAACAGATGTTTCTCTTCCACTTTCGACAATTCGATCAGTTTCTTTCGTTCGCGTTCTTCTTCTTCCAGCCGGACGATCGAAGATGGATCGAATCCTCCTTCCGCCAACATTTTTAATCTGCGCGATTCAGTGGGAATACATGGACAAAATTAAACGATATTCGGTGATAAATATTCAAGAGTTATAATTTTATAATAAATAATATTATATAGTATATATAAATTATATAAAATTATATAGTATATATATAAATTATATAATATTATATAGTATATATATATACATAAATTATATAATGTTCGTAATTCTTGCAACGATAAAAAGATATAATAGAAATCGGTACGGAATAGCGAGGTTAAAAGCTGAGATCTATGCTTTTTTTACACGATTTTGCACACAGGAAAATTATAAAATGTAACAGGTTTTTTGAATTAATTACTTTTTTATTTCCTTTTCCTCGTCGGTGATCACGCGAGCGCATTCCCTCAGTATGGAAGCTGTCGTATGTTTAACCTCAATCGACTGTTAAACAAATATGGTCAAATTGGCAATATTAATATATGGTAATATTAATACATATTAATAATTAATAATTCGGATGGAAAGATATTTATCGCGTTAAATATGGTTAAGTAAACATCTGTTTGGACAGTAAATTATTGTCGAAATAACAGAAACGCCGAATTATCGTGGAAATAATTGAACGACTGAATTATTGACGAAATAATTGAAACACTGAATTATTGACGAAATAATTGAAACACTGAATTATTGACGAAATAATTGAAACACTGAATTATTGACGAAATAATTGAAACACTGAATTATTGACGAAATAATTGAAACACTGAATTATTGACGAAATAATTGAAACACTGAATTATTGACGAAATAATTGAAACACTGAATTATTGACGAAATAATTGAAACACTGAATTATTGACGAAATAATTGAAACACTGAATTATTGACGAAATAATTGAAACACTGAATTATTGACGAAATAATTGAAACACTGAATTATTGACGAAATAATTGAAACACTGAATTATTGACGAAATAATTGAAACACTGAATTATTGACGAAATAATTGAAACACTGAATTATTGACGAAATAATTGAAACACTGAATTATTGACGAAATAATTGAAACACTGAATTATTGACGAAATAATTGAAACACTGAATTATTGACGAAATAATTGAAACACTGAATTATTGACGAAATAATTGAAACACTGAATTATTGACGAAATAATTGAAACACTGAATTATTGACGAAATAATTGAAACACTGAATTATTGACGAAATAATTGAAACACTGAATTATTGACGAAATAATTGAAACACTGAATTATTGACGAAATAATTGAAACACTGAATTATTGACGAAATAATTGAAAGATTTAATTATTGACGAAATAATTGAAACATTGAATTATCGTCGAAATAATTGAAACACCGAAGTACAGCCAAAACAATGAAACGAAAACTACTTCGGAACATACCTTGAACGTCGGAATTGGTTTCCTGAGGGACTCCGGTCTCATTTTCTCTTGCAGCTTCGCCTCCGTCGATCGTTTCTCGTGCAGCAATAATTTCGGGGCGTTCATGTTCGCGTCGTTCAGCAATCGAATCCCGTGCGATTTGTTCGCCGCTTGCAACGTCGCCAATCTCTTTTCCGTCGACGGCTTCACGTAATTCGTTCTGGGAATATTCCGCGCGAATCTCTGCACCGCCAAATCCTATCCGGCACACGAGGAATCTTCAAAAAAAGAGACCTTAAATTTTCGTCAATTTAAGAACATGCATTCCTTCGCCGCCGAATTAAACGATGCATAGTGAACATATTCGATCGACGTTAGTTCGTTCGAACGATTTATGTATGTACATATGTTCGGTCATCAGATCCATAGGGATCAGAGGGATCATTAACTTTTAATCGAGATGTATACAAACAGAATTATCAGAGGACTACAATGATCTACAATCTCTTATTTTCATTGTAAAATTGTGATAGCGTATCAGTTCATTGATGTACAATTCGAAGTACGTTAGTCGAAGAAGAAGATTCTTCCGATTCGTCGAAATATAATTTAATATATAAATATAATAATATATATTATATATAACATAATTTATAAATAATAATTTAATATAATATATATTATTATATTTATACATTAAATTATATATATTTATTATATAATTATTTATTATTATTATTAATTATTTCGATATATACATATATAATTTAATTTCTGTTTTACAAATTAAATTCTGCAGTTTAATGTAGACCGTCATCAGTTTATGTGTTCATGCGTTAATTTATTTATGCGTTAATTTTTCTGTCTTCGATTTCCCAGATCGCAAGATCGAAAAAACAGCTTACTTCCGACGTGCCAGGAGGCGGCCCCGCTGCTCGTTTCGGATGATTCAAGACATTCATGAAAACAGGAATCGTAACCCTTTTCTTCCGATGTTTTCCGGTTTCGATCGCCCCTTTCAGATTCTTATGAAGCTTCTGTGAACGATCAATTCCAAGGACGATTGATAATTAGTCAGAGGGTTCGCCGAAAAATTTAAGATAACTTAGCAGATGTCTTTTGATGGCGATAATACAACGTTTCGAAAAATTATGTCAACATTAAACAGTAAATTAAAGAATAAAGAAATTAAAGAATTAAGAAATTATAGAATTAAGAAATTAAAGAGAAAATTAAGAAGTTAAAGATTTAAGAAATTAAAGAATTAAGAAGTTAAAGAATTAAGAAATTAACAAGTTATGAAATTAAAGAATTGAGAAGTTAAAGAATTAAGAAATTACAAAATTAAAAAATTAAAAAAGTAGAAGGTTAAGAAATTGAAGAATTACAAAATTGAAGAATTAAAAAATTAAAGAAATAAGAAACCAAGCGAAAAATTCGGAAAGCACAACCTCCAAGCACGGCGTCGCTTCCAACAACGGCAAGATCAGCCTCTGCTCCACGAAATCTTCGTCGAAATCGAAACAACCGATTCTGTGAAAGACACTCGGCGTTTCCGAGTGAAGGAGATACGAGACCATGAAGAACACCTTTCTGTGAATTTGAAGTAATCGAAACACTCGACGGAGTCCTCGAAGTACAGATTGCACACTTGGTACGCTAGGATGTACAGGAACACTGGCAAAAGTAATGCGATAAAATAAAAATAAGAGAGTTAAAAAATTGTGTACGAATAATGCGATAAAATCAAAATAAAAGAGTTTAAAAAAATTATACAAAAAAGCGAAGCAATAAAATCGAAATAAAAGAGTTAAAAAAGTGTGCAAAAGTAATACGATAAAATCAAAATGAAAGAGTCGAAAAATTATGCGAAAGTAAAGAGATAAAATCAAAATAAAGACTTCGAAAGAATCATACAAGACGAAAAACATGAAATCAAAATTAATTAAAAATTGTACAAAAAAAGAATGAATATTCTCATTGAACTAATGTTTATGGGTACATTCAAAAAAAATGTTTGGAAATCATGTAAAATCGCGTACCCATGGTTTCGGCCAACGTGTCGGAATGCCGACGACGTTTCTTCAAAAAGTGCCTGCTCACACCTTCCAGAAAGTGTTCGTAACGTGCGATGTTAATGAACAATTCGATGGTGACGTCCTGAATCGGAACCGGCAAACTCTGTGAAGACAGGACATTTTTATTTCTAATTTTTTGCCACGATTCGAAGGCAATTCGAAGGCTACGTTACACAATTTGAAGGCAATTTGTAGGCAATTCGGGGCCACGTGACACGATTCTAAGGCAATTCGGAGCCACATGACGCGATTCTAAGGCAATTCAGAGGCCACATGAAATGGTCCGAGGGAAATTCGGAGGCCACATGATGCGATTCGAAGGAAATTCAGAGACCACGTGACGCGATTCAAAGGCAATTCGAAGGTAATTCGGAACCACGTGACATGATTCGAAGACAATTTGAACCCACGTGACACGATTTAAAGGCCACGTGACACAATTCGAATGCAATTCGGGGCCACATGACACAATTCGAAGGCAATTCGGAGGTCACATGCCACAATTCGAAGGCAATTCGAAGCCATTTCGTATCGCCTTCCAGGAATTAGCGCGGACCCTTATCATAGACGTAGCAATAAATTGCATAGGCGTAGCACTAGCGCAGGAAAATTCACAGTTAACCAAAAATTTGTTCCGGATGGCTGCAACAATCTCGAACTAAATTGAAATTCGTCGAACACTTTTCGGCCGGCTTCTCCGCGGCGAACAACGCGATACAAAACTCGTCCGGGCTAAATTCGTGCTTGGTTCGTTCGTACGCGTCCACCATCTTTATTAGCAGAACTATAATGTTCACTTGGAAGACGTTCGTCTTTTCGAGCTGAAAATAATTTCGCGATCAGCGCGACGTTCCGACATTTTCAAACGGCGGTTCTCACCGTTGCCCTCGTGCAATCCATTTCTCGCGTGAAATCGAGCGATTATGATCGCAATTTTTTGGTAAAAATAATTCGCCACTTTGTTGCGACGCGTTTGAACTGCGTCGATCTTGCGGAGACATATATATATATAGCAATACTATGAATCTTTAACATATGAATTGACAAATAAATTGACAAGTTCGTGATTTTACGTTTCCACATTAATATATTAATATAATATATTTACAATTAATATTCTCGAACAGTTCAAAGAAAAGTCGAATGTTTGAAACAGTTTATTCGTCGTAAGTCGATTAGAACCAGAGAACTGAACAGAGATTTTTTTACATCAACGAACAACGCGTTTCGTCTCTCTCTCTCTCTCTCTCTCTCTCTCTTTCTCTCTCCCCCTCTCTCTCTCTCTCTCTCTTTCTCTCTCCCNTGCCTTTCCAGCTAGTTTCATTCGACTCGAGTTACGTTTTCTTTCTCTCCCCCCCTCTCTCACTCTCTCTCTCTCTCTCTCTCTCTCTCTCTCTCTCATATATTTATTGTCCATATATATATTCACGATATCGATCAAGGAGAAACGGGGAAAAAAAATCTGTCACACTACGGGGCTACTAAAAAAAAGAAGAAAACGTTTCCGAGCGTCTAGCGGGGTGCGTACAAATAAAAAGTATCCCAGAGAGAATTTGTACTCCGAGGACGGCCCCACAATAATCTGTGCGCCGCCGTTTCTTTTCTTTTCCTTTCTATTCTTTTTTTTTCTTTTTTTTCCTTTTTCTTGTCGTGTTTTTTTCTTTTACATCGGCACGTCGCTTAAACGATTAATACTATATCGGTACAATATGTATACACTCACGGGATAGTCCTAGGAGTCCATCGTCGGTTCGAGAGCTGCGTAATCACCGAGGGAAACAATTCCCCGAAACAACGGATACAGTAATGTCTCCCTAATTGACGCTCAGATCGTCCACAAAAATGGACAATTTGGGAAGAAGAGATACGATTATTCGAGTCTTGCGATTTATTTTTATAGTTATACATTGTCCACAATTATAAAAACGAGCCGCAAGGCTCGAATAATCGTATCTCCTCTTCCCAAATTATCCAATTTAGTGGACAATCTGAGCGTCAGTAAGGGAGACATTACTGAACAACGTATAGTCCTCGCGCGACAGCAAAGCGCCTTTGCACTTATATTCCCCCAACCCCCATATTTATTTAGCTGCCCCACTGCCGCGGCACTCGATCGCTATTGGCCGAGACCGGCGGCGAAGATCGTCGTCGGTCAATTCATATTATTCGGGAAGCGCGAAGAGATTCGATTATTTCATAATTTTTACAGTAATATCTCTCTAATTGACACCCAGATTGCGCACAAGAATGTACTATTTGGGAAGAGGAGATACAATTATTCAAGGCTCTCGAATTTCCTCTTCCTAGATTGTCCATTTTTGTGCGCAATCTGAGCGTCAATTAGGGAGACATTACTCTATTCTGAACGCATTCGTGTTCGAAATTCCGATATTGAATACACCTTCAAATTAGAGGACGAAAGAAATTTCGATTCGGAGGGGCAGCACGTGCGTCAAGGGGTTAGTTCAACTATTATAATAATTTGACCTTTCTACTTACCGTTTTTGTTCAAGATCTCCTTCGTCGCCGTCGGATTTTTGTGATATCCGTTCATTATGGTGGACGATTTCAAGCATAGTTCACCCTGCTGATTCGGGCCCAAACTTTTCCCCGTTTGAACGTCCACGATTTTCATTTCACAATTGATGGACACCGTTCCGCAGGAACCGCTGGTACTCTTTGGATTTTGAGATGCAACGGCGCCCCCCAATTCCGTCATGCCTGAAATAAAAGTTTGATTTTAATTCGTTTGATTGGATTCTATTTTTTGAAACAGTAAAATTCGCGTGTTTATTATCGTTCCCTGGCGAGAAGAAGGATACTCTGCGTTGACGTATTGCCCTTCCTTGCTAGAGAAGGGGAGAAGCTAGTGGGAGGGAGAATGTAAAAACATTCCGCGACATGAGAATGTAAAAACATTCCTATAGTCCGCGCGCGAGAAAAAGGTGCCTTCGCGTTCACATATTCCCCCTCCTAACTGTAGCAGTGGGACAGCTAGTGGAAGGGGGAATGTAAGTGCAGAGGTGCATATAGTCCTCGTGTGAGAAGGAAGCACCAATGAGTTTACATATTCTCTCTCCTAGCTGCAGCAATGCGGCAGCTAGTGGAAGGAGAAATGCAAAACCAAAGTGCCTATAGTCCTCGCACGAGAAGAAGGAACCTTCGCGTTCACATATTCCCCCTCCTAACTGCTCTACCGCCGCAGCTAGTAAGAGGGGGAATCTAAACGCAGAGCCGCCTATAGACCTCACGCGAGAAGAAGGCTCCTATGAGTTCACATATTCCCCCTCCTAGCTGATTTTGCTCTACGTTTTGCAATACGATATTTACCGTAACCTTGCGCCACTAGCGCATGCGGCAAATACTCTCGCAACATGTCCTGAGATTCCTGCTTCAAGATGGCACCACCCACGAACAGGCATTTCAAGCTGGAGAGGTCGTACTTTCGTAAGTCCTCGTATATGACCAACCGATTCGCCATGCTTGTGCTCAGAAATAACCACGTGACTTACGACACGATCGTCAAGAAATTAGTAATTGAACGACACGAAATCACGTGTCATTTAAATTGTAATTGTAATCTTAATAAAAAGAATTGTATTTAATTATGTTTAATTAAGTAATTATATTTAATATAAAGAAATCTTAATTATATGTAAAGCGAGTTTTTAAAAAAAGTGATCCGATTAATGATTAACGATTATAACTCGTCAGTTATTATAAACTATTATAAAGTGGTTATATTATTATACATTATTATGAATTGTTGTAAATTAGTTATATTATTATAAATTGTTATAAATTAGTTTATATTAGTATACATTATTATAAATTGTTATAAATTAGTTCATATTAGTATACATTATTATAAATTATTATAAATTAGTTCATATTAGTATACATTATTATAAATTATTATAAATTAGTTTATATTAGTATACATTATTATAAATTATTATAAATTAGTCTATATTAGTATACATTATTAAAAATTACTTTATATTAGTATACATTATTATGAATTAGTTATATTATTATACATTATTGTTAATCAGTTATATTATTATAAATTGTTATAAATTAGTATACATTATCATAAATTATTACAAGAATATTATAATTTATAATTCTTTGTTCCCCTTTCATCAATTATGTCAGAAAAGTACGTAAACCGCAAGCCATCCAAAATCGAAAAACAAGAATTAATGGAGAACAAATAAATAAATAAAAATAAATAATAATACCTTATACTTCTCCACGAGTTCGCACACCTTCTGCGGCTCGAAATCCGGCCCGATTATCTTCCTCGCGGAGGTAGAGAAGATCTTAAGGTTGCACAGAATGCCGCTGATCCAGCATAGGGTGCTGAACCGCAACGGCGTCGCCATCACAGTTAGATGCACCGCTGCATTGTCTACCAAGTTCAAGAGTATCATTCTATGGGACAGCTCGACGCCCTTTGGCAAACCGGTGGTGCCGGAAGAGACGAGTATCTGCGCCGTATCGCCGAGTTCGACGTTCTCGCAACGGAAACTCGTCACAGCGGATCGCGGGTGACCCTCCAGAACGTCCGCGAAAGACAGGGTGCCGACATAATCGCCGAACGTGACCACCTTCAGCTCGAAGCCTTCGATCCTCGCCGCGTCCAGCACAACCCCCGTCGATCTTTCGTTCGCGAAAACCACCCTCGGCTCCGTCAATCTCATGAAGTGGCGCGCCAGATCTGCGAACACGGGAACGGAAACAATTTTACGAATATATTTGTAACAAACAGGATCTTTGTGCAAAATGAAAATTGCTGTTGCACGGAGTTGCATCTTTGTTTGCTGTTTAGGTTATAACGTTCCTTTAGGTCGATATCAAATTCTATTAACCTGCATATAAATATAAAATACTATATAAAATATTATATACATAAATATTCTATAAAAATATATAATATAAATATAAATGTATAAAATATATGATATAAATATAAAATATAAAATATNATATAAGATATAAGATATAAGATATAAGATATAAGATATAAGATATAAGATATAAGATATAAGATATAAGATATAAGATATAAGATATAAGATATAAGATATAAGATATAAGATATAAGATATAAGATATAAGATATAAGATATAAGATATAAGATATAAGATATAAGATATAAGATATAAGATATAAGATATAAGATATAAGATATAAGATATAAGATATAAGATATAAGATATAAGATATAAGATATAAGATATAAGATATAAGATATAAGATATAAAATATAAAATATAAAATATATGATATATAAATATAAGTATATAAAATATATGATATATAAATATAACTATATAAAATATATGATATATAAATATAACTATATAAAATATATAATATATAAATACATAAAAATATATTTATAAAGACACAATAAAATAGTAGTAGTATAATATTAAATATTACATAGACAACAAATAGTATAAAGTTTACTCCTCTTCTAAGAAATTATTGCGATCGAGATGGTTCTAATTATCGTAATTATACAGAAAATGCTACGGCAAGCGGTTAATTTCAACGAAAACCTTGAATTCTCCTAAATATGAGAATTTCAATAAATATATACATGGTGTCCCATAATAATGTAATCATCCAATGAAGAATGATTCCTAAAGTAATTTCAACTAACTTTTTCCTTTACAAAAATTTTCTCCGAGGCATCGTTCCCGAGTTATTAACGAAAAACCGTAATCAATCGGCGAGCGAGCGCGGCCGGCGATCCGCCCTCGCGGCCAATGCCGCGTCGCGCCGGCCGTCTGACGTGGCGGCAGTGGTCGCGTGGGCGGGGCACCTGCCGTGCTCGCCTCTCATTGGCCTCTCATTTTTCGTTAATAACTCGTAAACGAAGCCTCGTAGGACATTTTCGCTGAGGAAAAAGTTGTTCCAAATGACCTCAGGAATCATGTCTCTCAGGGTGTTAACACAATTATGAGATGAAAGAAGATAACCCTACAGATATTTCGATCGATCAGCTTTCTGTTCGAATGAACAATCAATTTCGAAGGGAAATTTAATAAAATTAATTTAATCTCGCGTAAGAAATAGAGAAGAAATTCAGCATTTTTTTAGTTCAAATGTTTCAAGAACGAGATGAAAATTTACGCGGAGATTCAGCGGTCCGATAATAATTTTCTGATAACGAATGAAGGGTTGTTCTTACTGGTATTCATCCCCGGATCCCAGGGGTTGAATATCGCCCCGATGAAAAGCGCGGCGATGCACGGAACGAAGCAGTCGGGATGGTTGTCCATGGAAATTGCGATGACGCCTCCCTTCTTGACGCCTTCTTTCCTCAACCAAAGGGCGCATCTCACTGCTCTATCCAGCAGCTGCTCGGATGTATTTTCTTCGTCCGTGGTGACGTCCACCTGTAACATCCGATCGTTCCTGTAACATCCGACAACGCTGACATAACACCGTAAAAAAAAGATTTCGAACGACCGAAACGCATACGTGTGTCGCGATGATTGCAGAGTAACGTTTCCAAAGAAAACCGCCGGTGTAAAAAATTCATCGAGCTAAATTAGCATTACCTAACCCGTTCTGTTCGTGACTCGCTGTTTCCATCTGCCACGTCGGTCGCGTCGAAATGGCATAATCATTTCCCTAATCGAGTCTTGAATAATCATATCTCCTCTTCCCAAATTGTCCATAAAGATTAATAAAGATTTAATAATATATAATAATATTAATAATATAACAATAATACTAGTAATAATAATATATAATAATAATATATAATAATAATGTATAATAATAATAATAATAATAATAATAATAATATACAATATATAATAATTAATAAAGATATTAATACTACAATAGAACACACAGATTTTCGTCAGCGAAATCACTATCAAAAAAACTGGATCAAATTGCACTTCCTATATTCAAATTTTTTTAAGTAATGCTACTTCGCTCGGCACATTATAAAATATTTTTCTTTTCGTCAACCCTTTAACATCTGATTGCGCTTGAATATATGTATAATATACAATTTATTTTGATCTGTCTGTGAAATAAAAAAGATATCTTCTCAATTGAACTCACCTATAATAACTCTACGTGTAAGTGTAATCAGTGAACTGCTGATATCTGTGCAAAATAACGATCTTTCGAAAATAATTCTAAATAATTTGAAATTAGAATACGTCAACGTTCTCCGTTTCTTTGAATCGCCCACCATCACCATTTCCATCGTGAATGCATAAGATCTGCGGTCCGGTAATTAGTGTCCGTCAGCATTACGTGCAAAATGTTTGTGATCGACAAGATAGCTATGACGAATAGTTTTTTTGTGGATGAACATTCCGTTTGATATTTCCCTGTATCACCGGGACTCTGATGCAACTTATAATTTCCGTTGACCCTGGCATTGCTACGTAAGAACGTATTAATTTATTATGAATGGAGATTACGTTACGAAAATCGTAGAAGTGTCGACGGAATTAATCAGCATAATAAATCGTTAATAAATCAATAATAAATCATTAATAAATAAATAATGAACCATTAATAGGTCATTAATAAATCATTAATGTATCGTTAATAGGTCATTAATAAATCATTAATGAATCGTTAATAGATCATTAGTAAGTTATTAATAGATCATCAATACACCATTAATACATTATTGATAAATCATTAACAAATCGTTAATAAACCATTCATGGATCATTAATAGATAATAAATAAATCATTAATTAATTATTAATAGATCATTAATAAATCATTAATTAGTCACTACTAGATCATTAATGAATCATTAATAAAGCATTATTTGCTCAGTTTCCGTGGGATTAATTAAACCATTTCGTGACGATAGCATGATACGTTTGGTATTGGTCGCGTTGACGCTGTCCTCGGTCACTTTATACACTCGGATCGATGCGAACAATGCGAAGCTCTTGAATTAATGATACCATGATTATACCTGCGCAACTATACTCGGATTATTCTTCATCCGTTCGTACAAGTATTCTCCGCCGCTTTTGTACTTCAGATCAAACGACACCTTCTTCCCTATCAGCACATTATCCACGATGGTGAATGTCCGTTCCGACGATTGCACCTGCGACCGACAGTATAGTCAATGGTTATTCGGAACATCGCCACGTAAATCTAAACTGTATTGCACAAAATTGATTGCACAAAATTGTATTGTACAAAATTGAAGCACAAAACTAACTGCACAAAATTGTATTGTACAAAATTGAAGCACAAAACTAATTGCACAAAATTGATTGCACAAAATTGATTGCTCAAAATTGCATTGCACAAAATCGATGCACATAATTGACGTACAAGGTTGCTGCACAAAATTCTATCGTACGAAATTAATTACACAAAATTGTACTACACAAAATTGATTGCTCAAAATTTTCTTTTCGCATAAAAATCCGCGGACAAATCATAATCGATACTTTCATGAGGGGACTAATGTTGTCAATAATGGACTTACAAATAGAATTGTGCACCGTAGCAACGATGAATAACAATTTGAATAACAATTTAAACAACTTAACGAGCAAGTAATATTTCAATATCTTTCAAATTTTCAATTCTCGATAGGATATCGTTGAACTATAATGTTCCTGATCGTGATGGGCAACGAAACGATATCTTACGTTTTCATTCGTGGTATCTGTCATCGTGCTGTCAATCCTGGCCCGCAGTAAAACGACACTAACGACGCTGGAAGCCACCCGATATCGACGGTTTGCTCCGGACACTGTTATGCAGCCTTTCGTCTTTTTCCAAGTCTTAGGAACTTTGGATGGTCCCCCCCTCCCCCCACCCTCACGAGACAATAGCACACTACGGATTAATTAATGGATAGAGCTTAGTATGGATTATAGCGAATTATATACAGCGTTGGTTGGTTTCCTAAATTATTACTCATAAATTATTGACTGTGTGCGAACAAAAGTAATACTTTGTCATGGAGCTCGCACTATACAATAATTAGCATTCTTTTTATTATTCTTCTATTTTATCGAAATCTGAAGTTCATTTTTAGTTGTCTTTTTTTTCTTTTAATTGGGTTCACATTATCCTTTTTCTTTGTAAATTATTTGTGAGGTGTTGAATATGTTTTTTCAAATGCCCGTAAAATATTTAATGTGTTTAATTTGTTCTCGAATATTAGACAAAAAATGCATTCTTAAATATCGATGAAATATTTAATGTATTGTTAAATACTAGTAAAATATTTAATTTGTTGTCGAATATTAGGGAAAAAATGCATTGTTAAATATTGATAAAATATTTAATGTCTTTTTAAGTACTAGTAAAATATTTAATTTGTTGTCGAATATTAGGGAAAAAATGCACTGTTAAATATTGATAAAATATCTAATGTATTGTTAAATACTAGTAAAATATTTAATTTATTGTCATATATTGATAAATATGAAACCTTCCAAAATATTAATTTAACGCTATTTTCGTCAAACTTGTCAAAAGCGATCTTTCAAAACTAGAATTCAACGGCGATCTCGTCAAAGAAATCTGAAGATCTTTCAAAATAATTTTCCAAATTGAATCGCTTTCCCTCGATTGACCTTTCAACTGTTTCCTACAGCGACATCAAATTAATTAAATTAATTCCAGTAAAAATAATTCCGGCTATACAAAAAAATTGTGCGATCGTCAATGTCATACAACCTGGTTCCTAAGTGCAACGTACTAATTGCTACGTACTCTCCTTTCTTACGGTGCAACTAATTATTTAATCGCTGCCAGTTGCTTTTAATTAGTCATGGATCGATGACAGAGCATACATCGCGGTGTGTACACGTATTTACACGCGGGCTCTGTTAAATAAACGTTTTTTTAAAGTGAAGATAAATTCCTGACTTTAGTGCAAGCCTTAGGTCCGCTGGAGAAGGAAAATCCCTCTAAGTGAATTCAGACCCCTCTCTCTCTCTAAGTGAATCCGCACGCCTTCCTCGAAGCGAATTCAGACTCCTCTCTCTAAGTGAATTCAGACGCCTTCCTCTAAGCGAATTCAGACTTCTCTCTCTAAGTGAATCCGGACGCCTTCCTCCAAGCGAATTCAGACTGCTCTCTCTAAGTGAATCCAGACGCCTTCCTCTAAGTGAATTCAGACTCCTCTCTCTAAGTGAATTCAGACTCCTCTCTCTCTCTCTCTCTCTCTAAGTGAATCCGGGCGCCTTCCTCTAAGCGAATCCGGGGCTCGAGATTCGTTCAGAACGCGGCTCGAATATTTAGTTTCGCGCCGCAAGAACGGAAACAACTGAACTGATTCCATCATACGAATGCTGCCGGTCGCAGGAAATAGTTGATTGACAGCCTTCGAGCACCTGTTGCTCATCGAGTGTTTACAAACAACCAGTGTTTCGTTAATTTCGCTGTATCAATCCGCCTCGTGTGTATCAATTTACTTCAGTCCCTCCGCCGCCCCCTCCCCCTCCTCTACTATTGTTCGTAACTGTAACATTCATTTTTCGACGAGCATTTGAAATATTTCATCGTACGTGTTAGTATAATATCTGTTTTATTTGCAATCTAGAAAATAGTTTGTAGTTTATTTCTCTGCTTTAGAGATATTATATAATTATATCATGTATATATTATAGCTATTAATATAAATAATATGTGTGTTATTGTATGTAACTATATTATTAATATAATATCTCTGTTATTATAAGTAACTATATTATTAATATAATGTGTATGTTATTATAAATAACTATATTATTAATATAATATCTATATATATATATATATATAAAATATAATTATATCAATACACAGAGTATCTATATATTTATGTATTTATTTCTCGCATTTACATTAACTTACAACACCTAAAAGCATCGAATGCGTTACAAATGTCTATCTCAGGTACCACAAATGAAATTTGGACATTTCGGAAAAAGAATAGAAAGTATAATCGCACATACGCACACGCACACACAGGCATAGACACGCGTACGAATACCTAGAGACGGGCACATAACAATTCAAGTTCTTCCTAAACTCTAATATTTACGATTTCAATATCATAGAAATATTTGTACGATCACGTATATACCACAGCCGATTACGTAGAACGTGAATCAGTGCTAATTAGCAAAGCAACAAAAATTCCCCTTAGCTACATTTTTCGTTCCGATGCATTCTTCTTCGATTGTACATACATATAACTATAATAACATTAATTGCGATTAATACACTGTAGACTTGTATGCAAAATAAATCCTGAAATCGCGATGGAAATTAAAAATTTAATAATAAGTTACATTTCATTTTTTCCCCCGATGTTCCGTTTCGTTGTTCCGTGCTTCACCGACACAGTTTTTTCTCCGCCGTAAATGCGTAATAATTGCAGTCCAGAACTCGGTTCGACGAGAATTGCCCGGAAATAGAAAACAGCTGCACGCGAGCGACACGATCAAACCAGGGCCGAACGATGATTCAATGTCAAACGCATTCAATTGTTGCTCAAATTAAGATCTCTAGATTTTATTTATCAATTCTTTTCACGTCCATGTATATACACGATTTATTCGAATATACTTTCGTTTGCCTTCTTGCTCACATATTGTTATATAATCATATTGATAATATTGATAATATTGATAATATTGACAATATTGACAATAGTGACATTATTGATAATATTGACAATATTGACAATAGTGACATTATTGATAATATTGACAAGGTAATATTAGCAATATTAATAATATTGACAAGATAATATTAACAATATTGATAATATCGACAAGGTAATATCACACACAACAATATCAATAATATTGACAAGGTAATATCAACAATATTGATAATATTGACAAGGTAATATTAACAATATTGATAATATTGACAAGGTTATATTAACAATATTGATACTATTTACAATATTGATAATATCGATAATATTGATAATATTTTTTTTTAGTAGTATTGATAATATTTATAATATTAATAATATTAATAATACAAATAATAAAATAAATATTAATAATATTAGTAATATTTAATTGATGATCTGGACGATACGATTCGGCCTTAGTTTGAGATCACGTCGCATTATTTTTGTGTGAACAAAATCTGCAAGTTGTCCAAAAATTATGCTACTTCCGGGAAATGAGAGGTTCCTGAGATCATTCGAAGCAACTTTCTCCTTTACAAAAATTTGCTCCGAGGCATCGTTAACGAGTTATTAACGAAAAACAGTGACCAATGAGAGATCGTGCAGGGCTGACGCCCCGTCCTCGCGACCACTGCTACCGCGTCAGACTCCCCGCCCTCGCGACCACTATCGCCGCGGCAGACGGCCGGCGCGACGCGGCATTGGCCGCGAGGGCGGGGCGCCGGCCGCGCTCGCTCTCCGATTGGTCGCTGTTTTTCGTTAATAACTCGTAAACGAAGCCGTGGATCGCATTTTCGCAAAGGAAAAAGTTGCTTCGAATGCCCTCAGGAACCTCCGATTTCCCGGAACTACCACAATTTTTAGACACCTTGCATATAGATCGCGTTCACACAAAAATAATGCGATTTCTACGGGAAGTGACAGGTACGCAAGATCATTTAGCAACGAACATTTTTTCGCGCGAATAAAAAAACGTGAAACAATAGCACGTGAGTATTTACTGAAGCGCCATCGACTTCGCCATGTTTTTCAACGCTATCCTCAATACTTTGCCCGAGGAAGTATGAGGAAGACTCGGCAAGAAATTCACGCCGCCGCGTAATTTATAAGCATCGATGAAATTCTTCTCCACAATCGTCACTAATTCCTCCTCGGTCACCTGAAAATTAGGTTAATAATCGTCAGATCATTTTCTCCGCGACTTACTACGGAAAATAAAAGAAGATATTGAATGAACTTTCAAATTATACATACAGACAACAAATTAGTCTTTAACATTTAAAAAGAAGAACATTCAAGCCATTTAATTCAGTTGTAAAAAAAGTTATAATTAGCGTTTTCAATGATGTTATGTCAATATGTATAGATTTCGCCGGGGATAGTAAGTCGCAAAAACGCACTTCTTTGTTGGGCATTTTGCTGACGAAAGCAACGGGATGATCGTCGTCGGTAGGATGAGGTATACCGACGACTGCAGCTTCCATAACGGCTGGATGCGCTTGCAAGAGATCCTCGATCTCGGTCGGCGCTATTTGGTGTCCCCTGTATTTAATTATCTCCTTCAGTCTATCGACGATGAAGACCTCTCCATCCTCGTTGTAGTATGCCAGGTCGCCCGTGTGTATCCAACCTGGGAAATTATAACTCAATTATAATTTATTATATGTTATATTATATATAATACTTATAATAATAATTAAATTCAGTTTAGATAGAATAAAATCAATTAAAATAAAAATTATGATAATATATAATAATTGTATTGTATAATGATATGTAATAATTATATTATATAATAATATGTAACAATTATATTATATAATAATATATAACAATTATATAATATAATAATATGTAATAATTATACTATATAATAATATATAATAGTTATATTATATAATAATATGTAATAACTATATTATACATATAATAATATATAATGGTTATATATATTATATATTTAATAATCATATATAATTATATATATGTAATGTGTGGATAATTATGGAAGTCGAACACAATATGATTCTAAAATAAGAGAATCAAGAGTTAAATGTCCGTGCTTCTATATCTCTTCTCATTCTTCGACTCGTCGCGGCTCTCTTTGCCTTCCTCCATTACTCCTGCGTCTGCGCACTCACTCACACACAACGCTTACATATATTAAATATTTAACAATTATATATAATTATATAAGTCATTGCATATCATAATTTTTAATTAGAAATTACAAAATTACTTTATACTAATAAAATTATATACTAACAACATAAAAACAACCGAAAAGCTTGAAACAATTCGAAGCCGTTCTTCGTCAATTTTTGTGACATGCCGGCGATTTGCACACGCGGTACTTAAACAAATATTTTTTAGGAACGATCGAATATCGCATTTTTCTACCCACCGTCTTCATCCAAGATCTCCATCGTAGCCGTCGGATTTTTATAATATCCGATCATCACATTGGGCGTCTTTACGCAGAGCTCGCCCTGCAGATTCGGGCCCAGGCTTCCTCCTGTTTGCACATCCACGATTTTCAGCTCGCAGTTAGGGACCACAGTTCCACAAGAACCGCTGGCACCATTCGAGTTCTGAATCATGGCCAGTCCACCCAGCTCCGTCATACCTGAAATATATGTTTAATTACTGTATTTAATTTAAATTGTAATTACTATAATCAAGTGATGTTGCTGCGACTAAATAATTGCTGTATTTAACGCTGTATTTTAAAACGATTTTATATATTTTTAATCAAACGATTTCGCATTGATTGCGTTTTTTTTTAACGAAAATCCAAATATCATGTCACGTGGTTTCCGATTTGGAGATCTGTAATTTCATTTCTAATTCTTTCGTTAATTAATTCGACCGTTAAGTAATTCTTTCGTTACCTAACTTTATCGTTAATTCATTCAGTCGTTAACTAATTCGTTCGTTATCTAATTCTGTCGTTAATTAATTCGTTCGTTATCTAATTCTTTCAATTAATTCGTTCGTTATCTAATTCTTTCGTTAATTAATTCGTCCGTTACCTAATTCTTTCGTTAATTAATTCGTCCGTTATCTAATTCTTTCGTTAATTAATTCGTTCGTTATCTAACTCTTTCGTTATTCAATACTTTCGTAAATTAATTCGTTCTCTAACTAATTCTTTCATTAGACGATTCTTTCCTTAACGAATAATATTGAAGGAAAATTTGCCACCAGTCGACTGCCACAAATATTTGTTTTTGTATAAATTTTTCTTCTGTTTTTTACGTTTTACGTGAGGTCTAATTATACGACTCGCTCTGTACGCCATTTGCAATACTTGCCGTAACATTGTATCACGCTCGTGTGCGGCAAATGCTTCTTCAGCGCGTCCTGCGATTCTTGTTTCAATGTGGCACCGCCGATCATGATCTGATCGAGGCTCGAGAGGTCGTAGCTCGGCAGATCCTTGTACCTGACAAATCGATTGCTCATGCTGGTGCTCAGCATCAGCCAGGTGATCTGCGGGACGACGATCGATCCATTCAGAAATCAGCTTTAAATATGAACTTTAAATATTAACTTAAAATAACTAACCTTAAGTTAACTTAACATAAAATAACTAACTTTAAGTTGACTTAACTTGAAATAACTAACTTTAAGTTAACTTAACTTGAAATAATTAACTTTAAGTTAACTTAACTTGAAATAATTATCATTAAGTTAACTTAACTTGAAATAATTAACATTAACTTAACTTAACTTGAAATAATTAACTTTAAGTTAACTTAACTTGAAATAATTAACTTTAAGTTAACTTAAATTAACATAATAAATGTCGGATATTTAAGCGAACATATAAGACTGAATATCTTTGTTCAAAAGCTGTTTATTTAAACAAAATATGCTCCGTCCGCTTCGATACACTTTTCCCAACGAGATTTTAACGCACAGATGGCCGTCTTAAACAAATTCCGATCTTTCGAGACGATAAACTCTGATATGGAATTTTTCGGACTGTCTTCATTTTCGTACCGTTTAGCCCGGGAAAACTGTTCTAAATGTTTTAAAAAAATGAAAGTCGGTCAGCGAAAGATCCGGCAAATAAGCTGACTGCTGCAAAATTTCATATTTTAACTAATTCAATTGTCGCAATCGTTTTGCACGATGTATGCCGCCGAGCGTTGTGTAAGTACAGTAATGTCTCTCTAATTGACGTTCCGATTGTCCAAAAAAATGGACAATTTTTGGAAGAGCAGATACGATTATTCGAGCGAGAATTAGAGAGACATTACTGAGCGTCAATAAGGGAGACATTACAATATCAGGCCGATTAAAACAAGCGATGAGCGCATAATTTTCACTTTCTCACGCATCTTGTATTTCTTCGTTAAAACGCGACACTATGATGACAAACCTGTCAACTATAAACGAGCTTATGCCAAAAAGCTTATGCGAAAGCCCAACGAAAACAGGAAGTCGAATGTTCGCGCGTAAAGAAAAATCGGACATTTCGTATGCACCAGCCTAATAATAAACTAACTAACTAACTAACTAAAAAAAGGCGATTGTTTACGAACCGCGCGTACCTTGTATCTGACCAAGATCTCGCACAATTTCTGCGGATCGAATTCGGTCGCAACGATTTTCTTGGCGCCGGACGCGAGGCTCATGAAATTCAGGAAGCAGCCGGTGATCCAGAATATAGGGCTGAACCATAACGGCGTCATGTTACCGAACTCGAGGTCCTTGTTCTCCAGCAGCCTGAGCAGCATGTCGTGGGACATCTGCACGCCCTTCGGTAAGCCGGTGGTACCGGACGAGAACATGATCAGCGATGTGTCGCGGAGGTCGGTGACCTCCTCGTACCGGAAGCTCGCCACCTCGAAGTCGCTGTGACCTTGGAGGACGTCCGTGAAAGCCACAGTGCCGGGACAATCGCCGAACGCGACCGTCTTCGTCTCGACGCCTTCGGCTTTCGCGGCTTCCAGCGCGACCCTCGCTGCCTGCTCGTTCGCAAAGATCACTTTTGGCTCTGTTAGGCTCATGAAATGCCGTGCGTGACCTGCCGGAGAGCAATAAATATATTATAGATATTATATTAAATATATATTGTGTGTTGTGTTAATGTGTTGTAATGATATAATAATATTTGTGATAAAGGGATGATGATATAATGATATGTGCTAGTATGTTTTATAATGTAATACACTATATATGTATATTATACATTATTATATGTTATAATATAATATATTGTATATATTATATTAAATGTATTGTGTATTACAGGTATATAATATATAATATATTATAATCAATATTAATATGTTATATTAAATATATAAAATAATATATGATATATCGTACATCTATAAAATATTATACAATACATTATATATTATAATGAATATTAATATTATAATATAATGCACACACATTGTATACATTATATATTATAGATATAAAATGTATTATATATTATAATGAATATTAATATGTTATATTAAATACTTTATATATAAATTTACGATCTCTATTATTTCTCATCTTTTTTCTTCGCTAATAACTCGCAACAAGTTTCGAGGCGCAAGTTTTTCCAGCGCAATTTTTTAATCGTAGCCTTGCCTGCATTCATTCCGGCATCCCAAGGATTCACAATAGCCCCGATAAAAACCGCGGCGACGCAGGGAACGAAGCTATCGAGATGATTGTGCGTCGCGACCGCGACGATGTCTCCCCTCTTCACGCCCTGTTTTCTCAGCCAAAGCGCGCATCTCACTGCTCGATCCAGCATCTCTCCGTAAGTTTCCTCTTCTCCTGTGCCGGCGTCCACCTAGAAATCGCAACGTTAATTCGACTAACGAAATTAGGGTCTAACGAGATACAGTAATGTTTATTTTTTTATCTTTATAGTTACAAATTGTCCACAATTATAAAAACGAGCAGCAAGGCTCGAATAATCGTATCTCCTCGTCCCAAATTGTCCAATTTAGTGAACAATCTGAGCGTCAGTAAGAGAGCCATTACTGTACGCGGAACAACGTATAGTCCTCGCGCGACAACAAGGCGCCTTTGCGCTTATATTCCCCCCACCCCCGCATTTATTTAGCTGCCCCATTGCCGAGGCACTCGATCGCTATTGGCTGAGAACGGCGGCGAAGATCGTCGCCGGTCAATTCATATTATTCGGGAAGCGCGAAGAGATTCGATTATTTCATAATTTTTATTGTGCGCTGTAAACTTCGCGGCTTGGATTTTATAAATCTATGATAGCCATAACTCTCGTTCTACGAACGATTTATTTCTCTTCGCGGATTCTCTTCTCTTATACCGCAACAAGCGTCGATTAATCGGCTGTTATGTAACTTCCCATTAAAGACGACGGCAAGAAGCGACCATGCAGCTTCCTTTGGAAAATTTTACGGAGACGTCGAGGTTCTTCGATTAATTGAACAATGTTTCAGTAAATTACTGATGTCGGCGTTGTAGAAATAACGAGTCCAAGGCTTTCTGAAATGGAACATAGAGCAAACGAAGCAGAACGATTCTAGAATGCAAACATTCGATTTGCTTTACCGTTTAAAAAGTCGCGTAAAAATTCTGTACAAGCCCCGTGAAAATAGGATAAGAATTCCGTAAAAATCGTGTACAAATCCTGTAAAAATAGGATAAAGATCCCGTAAGAATAGTGCAAAAATTCCATAAAAGTCGTGCAAAAATAGTGCTCATATCGTTTAGAAATATTGCAAAAGTCCTGTAAAAATCGTGCAAAAGCAATACATAAATCGAGTAAAAATCGTATAAAAATTCCGTAAAAATAGTGTAAAGATCTCGTAAAAATAATGCGAAAATCCCGTTAAGATCGTACAAAAATCGTGTAAAAATCGTATAAAAATCGTGCAAAGGTCCTGTAAAAATCCTGTAAAAATCGTACAGAGGTCCTGTAAAAATCCCGCAAAAAATCCCATAAAAACCTATAAAAATCATGCAAGGTCCCGCAAAAATCCCACAAAAATCCTACAATAATCCCGCAAAAATCCCACAACAATCCCGCAAAAATTCTCATTTCGGAAATGCAAGTTGCAACGTTCCTTGCTATTAGCATAGAGACAAGTGCAGCTCTAATTTATCTGCCAAGAGGAAGTTCTAAAATAGCATAGCATAGCATAGCATAGCACGTCAACGAATCGTGGGAGGCAGCAATAATGCGATCATCGATCGATTTCGTACCTGTACAACGCGGCTCCTATTCTTCTTCATCACGCCGTACAGCATCTGTGCACAGGATCTATGTTTCATCTCGTACGTCTTCTTTTCCCCTCGGAGCACATTCCCCGCGACGGTGAAAGTCGTCGTCGTAGACGAATTCTGCAGACTCGTCTGCGTGCAACAACGTCGTCAAACGTTAATTAAAAAAAAAACAAAAAACAACAACAGACTTACTTCGACGGAGAACACAACGCGATCATAGATGGAACAACGATGACTTACGTCGCTCGTCGTGTTCGCTGTCATGCTGATCTTCAAACGGGGAACAACCACTCGACTGACACTCGCGCGACGTTGCTCGACCTCTCGGTTCCGCGGCGAGAACTGTTAGCCGCACGCGTCTTGGTCTTTTTGCGAGCCGGCAATGCTCCCTACTGAGACAATGCCGCGCATCGGATTGTTTGACAGAAGCGCGGCGAGTGCACAAGAGTGCACGCGAGCTGCGATCGCCGACATTCTGCCGATGCACGCGGCAAAATGTTGCATTAGACGGAAGAGGAACTGCGCCAATGCTGTCGGACGAAGAGACGGCATGCTTTCGAGTTAACGTAATTTTTAGTCGTTTAACAGTATTATTAATGTTATTATTCATTTATATTTATCATTGATAAATATCGTTATTAATATCAGTGCACAAGCGAAAGTGCAAGCGAAATAGAATCGCATTTCGCCGACCTAAATAATTTTATTCGGAAGAAACAAATTTTTATAGGAATGCGAAATTGCGACAAAATGGTAGCACATTTAATTATAGATTACGTAAAGCAATAAAGGCGAGCAATAATTATCAATAATAAATATCATTCCTCAATCGAGGAATGCTTAATATTTTTAATGCTTAATATTTTGTGGATCTAATCTCTTTGCATTTATTAACAGACATCGTTAACTTTGGCAAAGATTTATGGGTTTCTTTTTAAATACTTTTTTTGCTCTAATTGCTTCCACTTTTCTTGAATAGATTTCTTTCTTTTGCATTCGGCTATGTTTTGAAATTGCCTGCCATTTGCATGATATGAAAAATTTCGTTGCGACGAATAAAATATTTTATTATTTTATATATATATATAATTATATATAAAATAATATTTTATATACATAAAGTATCAATTTAAAGTACTATTACATATATACAATAGTATTTTCTAATTATTTATATATATGTAATATTATATATATATTATATTATTAATACATTATGTATATGTATTATATTATATTAGTATATTATATGTAATATTACTATATCTATTATATTATTAATATATCACATAGAATAATTATATATATATACAATAATATTACATACATATAAATAATTAGAAAATACTATTACACACAATAGTACTTTAAATTATATTTGTATTATACATATATTGTATTATATTTAAATAACATACTATTATATAAAATACTATTTAACCCAGTTCAGTGCTTATTCCTCGATTTTTATGTCATCAATTCGCGAGAACTATGACAAAAAAAAAGAATTTTTGGACAACGAGTGGCAACAATTTCGATCGCCCACGTTAAATTCGTATTTCAAAAGTAACAAGATCAATCGACTTAATTAATTGATGATTAATAACTGCACGCGCACACGCAATTGTCTAACGTTTCGATGGATTTTTTGAAGGAAGGAACCAATCGGGACAAGGATCAGCGACGACGCTTGCGATGATTCAAATTCCATCGCGATACGTAAACTAGTTCATGATCGGTTCACTTTCGAAACGGAATCCAATTGTTTCGATAAGCCCGCATGACTCGCGGCAATGAAAACACTGGGGTGATACACGTAATCTCTGCGCCCGCTTTATCGAACGAACGGCTCCTCTATTGACACGTTCGCTCGTCGCCCGACGGCCTAGCGACTTTCTATCTGCGCAAATCCTACGTAAACAATTTAAAGATCGATAACACTGTTTAAAGTTGGAGAATCGATCGTTCGGTTTCTAGAAACATGGATTTTTTATTTGATTTCTACAACGGAACCGGACTTTGTCCGCTCGTTCGTCACTCTCTTGCAGTAATAATTCGTAAACAAAACCGTGAATCGCCTCAGAAACCCGCCATTTTCGGATCGCGAGACACTTTTCGGACACCCTGTATATCGATCTAAATGCGTTATAATTAACGGAGACTGCCGAACGTCCGAACACAGCGAGAAATACAGCAAATTTTCTCCGATTGTCACTATTATTTCTAATAAATATATTTAGAAATATAATACTAATTTATTTATTAGAGAAACGAATCCGACCGGATTGTTACAACAAACAAGACTATTTCTAGATCACTTCGCGCGATCATCAGCTTCTTTTCGCAGCCTAACGGCTCTCCGTTCCTCCAACTGCTTCCGCAGGGCATCCACTTCCGGCGAAGCGACTGCTGCCT